TAGGCAATTAATAATTTCTGCTCATGAAAAAAATTTAGATGGCAGAATAAGTTGAGAAAAGCAGATCACAAGGATGATGAAGAAGCATTACTGAAGTGGTTCACCATTCGAAGAAGCCGCAATTTTCCTGTATCTGGACAAATGTGGATGAATTTGCTAAATGTTTTTATGAGACTACTTTCATGTGCTCGAATGGCTGGTTAGACAGGTTTAAAAAACGGAATAACAGAAATTCAGGAAAAATTATCTGAGAGTCGGGAAGTGTTTCCATAACTGATGTTGAGGATTGCTCATCAGCTAAAGATTACTAATTTATTTTGTACGCAAGACGAAGAGTAGTGAAAAATAACACATTTTTTGCTACTACATAATATTTTTCAGTCATTTATTTGAATGATGTGCAATAAAAGGGAGGAGTTTGGGAACCATTGGGTAAATTATCTGCGTAACGGATATGGTGAACACCCGGTTATAGTGAACCGAAATTTCGGTCCCTTGAAGGTTCACTATGAAGGTTGACTGTATATATATATATGAGTGTGTGTGGAAGGGTCACTTCTCCTGAGACTTTTTAAAAGTCAAAATAAACATCTCGTTCATAAAAAACTTTTCTTTTGTGTTCTTTCAAACAAGTATAGCAGCTGGCTAGAAATGGGAGCTTCTAACCTTTTCATTAGATTGCTAGGGAAAGGGTCAACACCACATCAGTTCAAATAAAGGGGGGGACCAAATAGAACATCTTAACAGTTTTGAAAAGATATACGCTTCTGAGAAACATTCTTTTTTCTCCTCGATCATGTAAAGTTTAAGGAGCGGTGGACTTAAACATTGACATGAAAATGACTTCCATTCTACTGAAATATGAACTTGGCAAATGAAACTCTCTGTGTTCCCAACCAAGAATTAAACTAAGTTTTGCCCAAATTCCTTTTAATTTTCCCACAAACTTGTGAGATCAAATAGTGTTTCTATTAAATTTGGAACACAATTTGAACTCGGTGAATTGCGATATGCATAATAATGAAGAACTAATTCCTGTTACCAAATATCTCATATTTTAACAAATCCCATTATTTCTTTGCCACAGATCTAACTTTGTGATTTTTCACAACTTGTTTTTTAAGTTATTTTTATTAAATTTTTGAAAAAAAATTTAATACGTAATTTTTTGTGCAGTTGTTGATTAGCTTTCATGTCAGTTGTAAAAAAAATTTTTACTTTATAAATTAGAGTATAAAGGGAATTGCTTAGAAGATTAGACACGGGCACTTTAATGGTGATGAATATAATACAAAAAAGTCACCAGTCTATGATAGAAAAAACAGAAACTTACAATGAAAGATTGAAAGTATATTCAAACTGCAAAGAGTAAAGATCATTAATGACAGAATGGGTGTGACAATGCTGTTGAGAAGGAGTGTCCTTAACAACACCAATTTCAAAGGCTAGAGCCAAAATTTATCATGAGGAAATGGGCATTCAAGAGGTTGGCTATAGTATTATTTTAATTTCTTTTATTTAATGGTTGGATAAGCGATTTTTTTCCTGGCATTTGTTACATTTATTTTCAAGTTTTTTCTTTTAATTTTCATTCCAATGCTTTTCTAAATGATTAGTTGCAATTGAAAGAGATAGATTTTTTATGTGATACGTTATTTATCTATACTAAGTGTATTCTCCCTTTAATCTGCTTGAGCACACAATTCCGCCTACCTTAATGTGTTATTGATACATTTCATTTATCACTCTGCATTTTTAACTCAGTAGCACAGTCAATTATATTTTAAGTTACAATATTTACAGATTATTTTTTGAATGATTAACTACAGCATAACAATATTCCTTTGCTATTATTGCATAAAAAAGTGGTATTTTAGCTGTTTTAATTTTCCAAGTAGTAAATATTTTCGTTTCACTACTTTTACTTTATTTAGTAAAGCATAGCAGTGTATTTTTCTGATAATTTCTCTGCTACCTGATGTTCACTGACATGCATGTGCAAAAAATTTCCTCTCATTAATGGAAGCAAAAAACGAAATCAACATGACGTTGGTATGACGGCCACTGACCCAACAGCCTTTTGATTCTTTCTGGCACACAAGAGAAAATAAAGAACAGCGAAATCTAGAACTCCTTCTTTCTGTTTGATTGACAGCCGATGATCGGAGAGAAAAAATTAGACTGTCACTTTCTTGGCTCCTTCAGACATAAAATATCATCTTTTCACAAATCTTTACTCTCTAAAAAGGACTGGAATTTCCACATTTTGCCTCCATCATTCCAGTACAAAATGGTGGTGAAAGCGATTAATATTTTCATTTACTTACAATTTAATTTCTGTAATTATTTTAATTTTTGCATTTTCAATGCTGAATAAATCATTTATATTTTTTTTCCAAAAATTTTGTTTAGGTAATTATATATTATTCTGGTAATGAAACATTATTGACCAAAAAATAAAGTTTATTGATTGTTTTCTTGTTTGTAAAAAGACTTGGTTTGACCACTGTTTACGTAGAGGATCTTTCATACCGAAATATCTATTATACAGACTTGCTGAAGTCTCACTGATTTCAGACTCAACAGTTCCCACTGTCAATATGTATTTGCAAAATGACAATTCTATAAAAACCAATATTAATAAAGGATTAAAATTTTTAAAAAAAAATACTTATGAATTATAAGCGATTTAAAATTAGGAAGATATTTATTTTAATCAGATTTATTCAGTTAAATTATAGTAATTAGTTCAGATCTAGAAAAATAAAAAATATCACTTCAAATAACAATAATAATAAATAAATGAATAAAGAAGCCTAATAATCATGAATTTTTGTCAAAGAAATTATTTGTTAAGATCTTTGGCAAAATATTTTTTAATGACTTAATTATTTTTATACTTTTTAAGTTTACATATTTTTATAACCATAATTAAATAACCAAAATCTGGAACAGAATGCAATATTACATATTATAAATTAAAGTATACACACAATGAAATAATAAATACAAATTTAAAATTACACTTAATATGAACTATAAATATTTTTTTTTACCTTACTTGCTCTATCATATTACAGTTTCAAGACAGGAAGGAAAATTTGTTTTAATTTAAATTATTAATTCAGGGGTGATTGTGAGCCCAAGTCAAAATCCCGGAAAATTTCTTGAGTAAAAAAAAAAGTTTAAATCAAAAAAATATTAAACAAGGTTTTTCAGGGTGGCCACTCAAATCAGGTTTCAAATTTCACTGATTTTTCCAGTAAAATTCTTAAAATTTCCAAGTCAGCGTGTTTCCCCCCCCCCCTGCTAAAGTGCAGTATAGGTACATGAAAAGTGTCAATATTAGTGTGTTAGTCAATATAGTGTAGTATTTCATTTAAAATTTTATTTTTTAAATATATCATCTTGAATAGATGTGGAGGAAACAATATGTTTAGCTTGCAGAAAATAACGCTTTTAATGAATAAAATTTTTTTTAAGTGTTAAATAGTTTTTGCAAAAAATATACCAAATAGCAATGATCCAAAACAACCTTGGATAAGTACTGTTTAATATATTTTTATTAAGCGAAAGAAAATAATTCCAGATGATTAGAAACCAATAAATTCTTATATTTATTTATATTTCAATATAGAGCCATTTTATACTGTATTTTATACAAACAGTGCCATTTATAAAATTCATTGAAATAAGTTTCTTTAAACCAATATCATAAGTCAAATGTTTAAATAATGTTGGTCGTTTCAAATTAGCCCTATTATTTTAAGTCATATTCAGTATTTGTAAACGAAAAATTTTAAATTTCTTGTTGCATATTCTATAGGGGAAAAAAAAACTAGATACAATTCTTTAACTTTTATTCTTTTTTCCTTCCGTTTCTTAATGGAAATTAGAATGTATTAAGAATTCTAATCTAACATGGTTTCCTAGTTTAGATAAGTTAATAGGCTTTGTTTTTACACCTGGGCAATTCCATGGTGTTGGAAAAAAATGAACATTAATTTCTTAGAAAAACTATCTTACAAAACAAAACTTTGCTGAGAAAAATAATTCATTGGACAAAAGCTTTCAGAAAAAGAGTGCAAGATAAAATCTCTAACTTCAATCTAATCTCAAACTTCAATCTAATCTCTTCAATCTAATCTCTAATCTCAAACTTCAACAATGAATGAATTCAGCCCACAGAATAAACGAAGACTTAAAAAAAAGAAGAAAAAAGTTACTTTTATGAACAGAATCAAATATCCTAATCCTTTCTTCCACATTTTTGCCTTTCTTATACTACATAGTCCCATAATCTCCAATGAGGTTAAAGATTTCTCCATTCATTTCCCAACATAAAAGAGTTTGAAATGGCATTCTAGTTTAGCAGGGTAATAATGAAGAGAATTTTAATGCAAGAAAAGTATTGCTGATTTGATGATATATCAACTTCTTTACGAAAAATTTACATCTAAATAAAAGTGGATATAACGGATGGTAACATAATTTAAATTAAAAGAAAAATTCCAGCTTTTCTTCGAAATTCCCTGATTTTTCCAGGTTTTTATCCAAATTTCCCTGACTTTTCCAGGTTTTTTCTAGTATAAAAAAAATTCCCTGATAATTCCAGGTTTTCCAGGTGGGTGGCCACCCTTTTTTTCAATATTTCTTAGTTTACTTAAAATATATTTAAAATTTTACACATACCTATGATGACCTGGAGAAGTATTTGAAATTTACAAATATGTCGTTTCTTCTTGAGTTTATGATTATAATAACTATTTACTGATAAAAAATTAATATAAGCTTAAAAAGTATCTTTCTGGCTCTCCCTTACAAACAAATAAAATGAACTGTGTTCTTAAATTCCACCTTTAAAAATTTGATTTCCGGAAACTTTTGTGATCAAGGATTTTTTGAAACGTCTGAACCTTTGATCTCTGGAAACTTCCGGATCACGGTTAGCGAAAAATCCGGAAATCCAGATTTTTTCCGGAGCACAATCAGCCATGATTAATTGTTACAAATTAATTTATTAATTGTATTCAGTTATTTATTTAATTTAAATCATCTTACCTTATTTTTCAAAGCAGGGAAAAAACTTAAGAGAAATTACCTGAGATATATGCAAATCACTTTCACTTATAAGAGGAGGTAGCTCTATTAAAACAGTTTTGATCATATCTTGGGTAAGATGCTCAACTGAAAGGAAGAAAAATAAAATGTTTTTTTAAAACAATGTTATCAAAAGAATATCTTTGAGTACCTAATTTATGGACATACTATTAAAACTAACTTTTAATACAGAGTACAGAATTTTAAACAATAAATACACTCAAATAATATGACATCAACAAAAAACACGGAAATAGAAAGTATTTCAAAACAACTCCATTCAAGTGAAATGAAAAGGGAAAAAAATTTCTTAAGCACTTGCAAAATAAAATTCATATACTTTTCTACAACCTCTCTAAACATAAAAAATCTTTTATAATGTGCTAAAAAAGGCTTTTTTTTAAATGAAATAAAATATATAATCTGTTTTAAATGATAAAAAAAATGACAAAAATTAAGTCATTTGTGCAATAAAAAAAGTGCATTATCCAAAATACTATTTTTAAATACTATCAAAATAAAATATTTTTCTTCAACTTTCTAAAGATAAAAAATTCACTGTTATATTGTGCTTCGAAACCTTTTTTAAATGTGAAATAGTATGAAAATGGATAATTGATTTTAAATGATAAAATACAGACAAAATTGAAATAAAAGGAGTTGATTATTCGGAACAAATATATATATATACAGTCAAACCCCGCTATAGTGAACTCCTGGATATAGTGAACCAAATGTTCGCTCCCTTGCCTTGATATACACATATAATATTATTTTCGGTGAACCAAAAGAAGAGAGGTTATTATAAACGTTTTTCGGTCTTCAACTGACCTTTTTTGGTAATTTTGAAATTTCTACATGAAAGATATATACCGATTCGTAAAACCATCTACTGAGAGGAATGTAGCCATACGCATTTTTTTTGTCTTGTTTGTTTCTTTTATCTCAGTCTCCCATCCCTACATTTTTGTACGCAAGATGATGAGTAATAAGAAATAAAAGTTAACACATTTTTTGTTACTACATATTGTTTAATCATTTCTGTGTTCACTCTTATTGGCCATTAAAATTAATAATGTTTAATAAAAAGGAGCAGTTCGGAAAAATGAGTTAAAATTGTTTGCAGTACGGATATAGTGAACTCTCGGTTATAGTGAACCGAAATTTCGGTCCCTTGAAGGTTACTATAACAGGGTTTGACTGTATATATATATATTAAAAAATAAGAAAAAATTATCAAGTAGCATTTAAAATAATTAGATACTCTCACNAGCAGTTCGGAAAAATGAGTTAAAATTGTTTGCAGTACGGATATAGTGAACTCCCGGTTATTGTGAACCGAAATTTCGGTCCCTTGAAGGTTTACTATAACAGGGTTTGACTGTATATATATATTAAAAAATAAGAAAAAATTATCAAGTAGCATTTAAAATAATTAGATACTCTCACAGCGAAATATTATGCTGTGTAAATACAAAGAAAATCTCTTAAAAATTCCTAGTTACAATCGCAGCTAACTAAAAATAAAATTCAACACACAAAATTTACAATTATCATAATAGAATTAAAAAAAACTTTTTTTTACCATAGTTCTTAACAAGAGTGTCTAGAAGTGTAAGAGTTCCCAACTTTAAGGCCCTGTGATTCTTACGCAAAAATGATGCTAAAATAGGCATAGATTCACCCAAAATCGGTTTCAAATTTATTTTCAATGGTGAACTATGAAAAAATAACACACATTAAGTTTCAAATGATTAGAAATAAATATTTTGAATTCAAACTGAAAAATTCTAAGCTCACCCTGCCACTTTAGTCAGTGCCTTGACAGTGGTTAAACGTGTGATTTCATTTCTTAAACGATCTAAGAAAATTGGGAGACAAACTTGCAGTTCAGACTCCAAATAGTCACCAAGGTTGGAAATAATTTGACCCCTGTAAAAAAAGTATAAATAAGATTTTTAAAGCATAGATAAATGTGACTTTAAATTAACCTAACAGGCACAGTGTTATAAAGTAGATCCCTCGATTTTACATTTTCTGTCGGACTACCGTTAAGAAACGCAGAAAGCGTAAAATCTATTGGAACTGGAGAAATTCCTTGCTTCGTCTAAATAAAGACGTTCATTGCAAACAAGAAATTTGCTTAAACATAAAAATTTATTAACAGCTGTCCTCAGAGCCGGATTATACATTTTGTAGGCCCTAGGCATAGCAGTTTTTGGGCCCTCTCCTCCTTCCCCCACTCCTCTCCTCTTTTCAAAATATATGCTAAAATTTTCTTGCATATTTTTTTTACATTTTTATTAATATGGATTTTAATTTACGAATTTGTTTATTGAAATTTTGTTAGAATCTGAGATTAAACTAAAAGCGCAAAATTTGGTGAAAATTTACTCATCCGATTTGGAGGAAAACTTTGTAGATGAATTTTTACTATTTTCAAATTTGTATGAACACAAATCTGCACAAGAAATGTTGAAGGCTCAAATTAAAGCTAAACTTGTGAATACTTTTCCTAACGTTCACATTGCATTAAGAATATATTTGTCGATTCTTGGATCAAATGCAGAAGGAGAAAGATCTTTCTCCAGATTAAAATTGATAAAAAATTATTTGCGTTCAAC